AACTTGCCAAACAGACAGTGGGTGGTGGGTGCCTTGCAGCCTGGGGCGTATGGTTCTAGATGCTGCCAGGCCCTTAAGGACACCCCTGGTACCTTCAGAGTTTGCATATATCAGGAAACAGAAGTTGTTTGCTGATGCTCAAAATTCCCAGAAGGTGCAGAGGACAAGGTCAATACAATACAATAAAATAAAAGGCTGTCTCCGTCAGAAGGTGCCTCAGCCTAAACTTCCCCATCCATCCGCAGCAGCCCCTTTTTCTTCCCCAGACCCCAGCCCTGTCCCCATGATTCCATCTTCCCCTCCTAGCTGGCCTTGGGCGGTGCCCGTGCTGAACTACTGCCCCTGCCATCCCAGCCTCCACCTGGCAACACGCACTCACCTCGGAAGTTGAGGGCAGAGAAGGTCTGGATGGGGAGGTTGATCCTGAAAAGGGAGAGACCAAGCCCCAAAAGGGTTAGGACCCTCCGTCTCTCCCCATGACCGTCCATCAAAACTTGCCCTGGTCCTCTCTAAACACCATCCTGAGCTGTCCCAGTCCCACTGACCCCAACGCTCCCACTGCCACACGGCTCGGAGCATGAGGCCAAAGGCCAACTCCAGCTGTTCCAGGCACTGTCTCTTCTGGAGGGATCGCCCATTCTATCTCTGACTCGCCTGCATGACACTAGGACCCCCAACCCCACTGCGCCCTCCACTTCACCAGGATTTCCTTCTTGCTCTTGGCATCGAAGGGTGTATCAATAGCAGCTGTGGGCGACATCCAAGGTGTGTGCCCACCCTCTGGCCAGGCTGGGAACCTCTGGCCCACCCATGTGGGGGCAACTTCCAGGAACCGCCATCCCCACTTATGCCTAGTGCTGGGAAAACGCAATGAGATGTCAGCTACCTCAAAGGGTCATTACATTTAGATGTAATTCTACGAAATCTGAACTCTCTTTAGTCTAAGTCTGTGTCTAAATACGTCTGCTGATTTTCTTAAACTTCAGATATTGTCGTTTTTACCAGTATCAATGGGCATCATTTGTTCGAGTCACTGACCAATTTAAATTGAAGTTAAGTTTACATACGGGGAAATGCACAAATCTTTAGCGTGCAATTCAGTGAGTTCTGATCAGTGTCCACAGCCATGGAACTACCAGTCTAAATCACGATATACAACATTTCCATCACCCAGGAAAGTTCCCCCTCCAGTTGTATGTTGTTTTCTGTGTGTCAAGGTGAGTTGCTCTGAGCATGTCATTCTGTGTCTTTCTTATGAACGTGTTTGCGTGCGTGTGTGTGCACACCCCTGGTGCACGAATCTCTACACCCTTTCTCTTAGCCAAGGCTCTCCATCTCTCCCTCTGGCCCTATTCATCTCTATCTTTCCTTCCTCACCATTCCCCACTCTGCTCTCATCTCTCCCTTGACTGGCAGTAATATTTTATTACTGGTTGCTGAATATGGTTTTATGCTGCTGGTTCTTAATTTTGAAGGTGGATGAGGGAATACTTACATTTCTCTTTTTATAAAAGCCATTAATTAAATCCCTTTTTACCCAGGTGGCCTTGGTTAATTCTCTGTATTTAGTGGAGTGGCGGCCTCTTGTACAATATTGTTTCCAGATCTTGTTAAGGTGATCCCGAGCCCCTCCCCAGGGCAGGAACAGGCCCCCCAGCATCTCCCAGAACGCTACCACCTGCCCCTGCTTTGCCCCTCACCGGCTCTCCTCGCCCTCCAGCAGCTTCCGGTAGGTGGCAATCTCCACATCCAGGGCCATCTTGACGTTGAGCAGGTCCTGGTACTCGCGCAGGTGGCGGGCCATCTCATCCTTGAGGTGCCGGATCTCCTCCTCCAGGCGTGCGATGTTGTCCTGGTAGCCGCTGGCCTCACTAGCAAAGCGGTCCTCCAGTTCCCGCATCTGCCTCATCAGGGAGTCGTTCTGCAGGGGACGGGGGCCCAGGTTAAGCACGGGCTAGGAGCGGAGGGAGACACTAGGGGCCCAGGATGGAGAGAGACACAGCCTCGGGTCTGAGATGGTCGGGTCCAGGAGCTGTCAAACTGTTCTGAGCCAGGGATCCCTGAACTCAAATGAAGTCCTACATGGAAACTCAGAGGACAGGACAGGACTGATAAAGGGAGCATCGATGTTTGGCCTCCCCGCCCCCACACAGGAGCCCCACGATTCCTGGGAGTCCAATGGGAATCCACCGGTCTGTTTTCACCCCTATGGTAGATCTGAGAAGACAGAGGCCCAGAGAGGATACGTGATGGGCCCAAGGTCCCAGAGTGAGAGTGTGAGCTGCATGCAGGAAGGGCTGGCCCGGCGAGGTGGGCAGGGACTCACAGTGCCCTTGAGGGCGTCGATCTCGCAGGTGTAGGACTGGATCTGGTGTCGGTACTCCATCATCTCCTGCTTGGCCTGGCGCAGTGCATCATTGTTCTTGTTGGCTGCCTGGGTCAGGTCGGACACCTAAGGGCAGAGAGAGAGGCCCCGAGATAAGGAGGAAGCAGAATGTAGGTAGGGTGGGCAAGGGAGCACAGACACCCTGAGTTCAGCCTCCTCCCATGGATAGAGCCACAGGAAGCACCTCCAGACCAGGATTGAGGGGGACAGAGTGCTCAGAGACCCCAGGCCAGGCCACCCACCTTTGACTTGTACCACTCCTCGGCTTCGGAGATGTTCTTAGCCGCGATGGTCTCGTACTGAGCCCGGATGTCCCGGAGGGCGGCGGTGAGGTCTGGCTTGGACATGTCCATCTCCACCTGGACTTGCTGTTCCTGAAGCTGGGCCTGTAGCTCTCGGATCTCCTGCAGGGAGAGGCTGGACTTCAGTGCCCTACCCATCCCCATGCAGCACATGGCACTTCACGCCCTCGTTCCCAGAACCTGGCACCACCTCCCTTTCCAGTTGCTGTCACCAGGTTCTGAGGACCCTGAGGAGGAAGACGAGGGCATACCTCTTCGTGCACTTTCTTAAGGAACGCGATTTCCTCGTTGAGAGATTCGATCCTGCGCTCCAGGTCAATTCTAGCTAGGGTAGCTGCATCCACATCCTGGGAGAGGTCAAGCAAGAGGGACAGCATCACTGATCACCCAAGCAGGGCAGAGGGAGACCAGGGGCCGCACAGAGAGGACAGAGGGGTAAGGTGGCTGAGGGACCAAAGAGCTCACCGCTCGGAAGGCAGCCAAATTGTTCTCCGCTTCTTCTTTCAGCTGAATCTCCTCTTGCAGCCTGGCGGGAACAGACAGACAGGACAGACAGTTGGTGGGGATAAAACCCGCAGTGGAGACTGGCTGGGGGCTGCCCAGGGAGCGGGCTCAGGACAGAGAGAGGAGGCCTGGCTGCTGGGTAGAGACAGGAGGCCCCGCCCACCAAGAGAGGGGACCGGAAGTGGCCCAATTTCTTCCCGGGAGCCACACCCTGGAAGTCTCTGTCTCCTCCAGATTGTGACCTCCCTGGGATTAGGAACTGTGTCTATTTTATCCACCCCTGTGTTCCTGGTTCCAACCCCTGTCTGGCCCATGTAGGTGCTCAACCAGTCTGTGACCTCGGTGGCAGGACCGTGACTTTGTTCCCTTGGGCTGCTGGAGGCAGGACCCATGAGTGCTTTCTGCCTTTTGTACTGGGAGCCTGGTGGAACCCACTAGCCAGTCCCCCAAGCTTCCCCCCTCCCTGTTCCTCTAGCTTATCTATTCCCCTTGTGAGACGGCACAGCCTCAGTCTGGCCCAGGAGCCAAGATCCCCTCTATCGCCCCCTCCCCAGGGCCTCACCATAGATGATCCGAGAGCTAGTGCTCCGATACCCCTACCCCCTGTCCTTCCCAGCTTGTTCCAAATTTCCTTGTCTCCTATCAACGTCTTCTCTCCCTGTGAGAGTACACAGGCCTCCTTGCTCCATCAATCTGCCTGTCGACCCCCATCAACATCACCCAGCATCTTAAGATGCTTTTTAAGGGGCTGTCCACAGGGTACGAGTTCTCCCAAAGTCTCCTATTTCCACCCCATGATGTTCCCAAGAAAACTCCTCCTTTGCAGAATGGGAACACAAGGGAGCGACCTGGAGTCCATCTCCCCTCTGGGGGGCACAGGTCGATGACCTTCTCCCTGCCTAGGGTGGGAGAGGGTTCCAGGCACGGTGGAGAAGGCAGGTGCTGACAGCTGGGACCCGAGCCCCCAGGCCCAGCCTCCCGCGCTCAGACAGTGGAAGGGGTTCTGGGGGCGCCCGGGGCCTCACTTGGCCTTGAGCCGCTGCAGGTCGTCCAGCAGGTTGTCGCGCTCGACCTCGACGCGGGCGCGCTGGTTGGTGAGCACCTCCACCTGGCGCCGCAGCTCGCGCAGCTCCTCCTCGTAGATCTCGGCCACCCGCGTCGGCTCGCGGCCCTTGAGCCGGTTGACCTCGGCGGCGAGCGCGGCGTTCTGCTGCTCCAGGAAGCGCACCTTCTCGATGTAGTTGGCGAAGCGATCGTTGAGCTCCTGCAGCTCCACCTTCTCGTTGGTGCGCGTGGTCAGGAACTCCTGGTTCACGGCGTCGGCCAGCGAGAAGTCCAGCAGCTCGCCCGCGCCATAGGAGGGCGCGCGGGCCACCCCCAGCCGGCTGGTCCGCAGCGCCCCCAGGCCCCCGGCCCCGCCCGACGTGCGCGACACCTGGTACACGCGGGACGTCACCGAGCTCGAGGAGCCCTTGGTGCCGAAGCCCGTGCGCGGGAACACTGGCGAGCTCAGCGGGGAGCCGAGCCGGAAGCCCGAGGCCGGGCCGAAGGTGCGGCTGTAGGAGGAGGTGCGCTGGCTGGACGAGTAGGCCTGGCTCATGGTGGCGGCGCGGGCGAGGCTGGACGGCGCGGAGGAGGCGGCGGGCGGCCGGCTGGAGAGTGGATGCCGAGAAGGGATACAGGGCCCCAGCGGTCGGCACTATTTGTATCCCTCCTGACATCAGCCCCCGCGCCCCTCCCCTGACAGCTGCAGGATCCGCTGTCCTGCCAGGAAAGGGCGGACGCTGGCGTGGGGGCGGGGAGGCCAGCTCCCCCGCAAGAGGCCTGCGCCCCTCAGCTGGCGGGTGGGGGGCCCGTGAGGGGTGTGGGAGAGGCTGATAGACCTAGAAGGGCAGAAGATGGGCAGGCCCGCCAACCCCTTCACTAGGGCAGCTGGCATGTCTGGAACCTCCCTTTCAACCCTTGGGTGCCAGCCTCCTCCTGGGGGTGCTCAGGGGACACAGCAGAGGAGAGGACCCCATTTAGTTTGAGGGTCTCCTTTTTGCTCCAAGGAGAGACTTTGGGTTATTTCCTAAGGGACAAGGCCTGTTCCCAAGACAGGCTCCAAATCCCTTTTTTTCTAAAGATTCTCTGAAAGTGGTAGAGTTTGGGAGGGCTCAGGCAAAGACCAGGAGCCCACCAGGCAGGCCTAGAGGAAGAGGGTCTCTAGGCAGGCAGGGAGGGTGGAAGGGGGCCCTTGGGCACAGATAGCAATCCTGGCCAGAGCTGGTATGGCCTGGTGTATCCAGACCTGCTCAAGTATGTCCACGGGCACCTGTTTTCTAGCTCTGTGCCTCAGTTTCCCTCTGGACTAGTGTGGGCCCTTTACCGTCCCCTGTGGGTGAGGGTGGGGCCTCAAGTTTATAAACAACAGGGTGAGTTCCAGGAAGGGTCTGGTGTGCTCTGAGTTTCCACTTGCTGTATACACTCTAACCCTGGCACCATCAGCTTCACCCAGCTTCTGCCCCCTTGTCCCCGCCCCCATCCCCACTCTGATTCATCCCCCTCCTCACACCACCCACACCCCCACACACAAGGGGTTTGTGTTTTGTCAGGAGCCTCATGTCAACTCAGCCATCTCCCTGGCAGCAACAGCTGCCAGCCCAAAATACCAGAGCTGGTATTTATAGAGGAGAATGCATCGGGTCCAGGAAACAAGTGCACAGGAGAGGAGCTCTGGGGGGCGGGGGCCGGGTACCTGAGGAGGCAGGGGTGTCAGATGGCGGAGGAAGGCTTGGGGTGATACGTGACTGCACGTCCCACCCCCACAATGCTCCAAGCCCCCAGCAGGAATAGAGCCCCGTGGAGGACTTGCCCATCCCTTCACAGCCCCCTCCTTGGTGCGAGGCCCTGGCTGTGCCCTAAGGACATCCCCACTTCTCCGGGAACACTGGCTGTCTCTTTACACCTCCACCTAGCACTCTACAGGCCTCTCTTAGGTCTGACCCTTTTGGAATGCCACTCTGGGAAACACAGTGCTGGTCTTTCCGTAGCTCTGCCATCACCAGCACGTTAATTTCAAGCAGGCCAGCTCTTCACTGCTCTGTGTCCTCAGCCCTAAAGTGGGAATAGTCAGCCTTGCCATGTCTACCCTGTGAAGGTGTGAAGAGGCTCAAGCAACAATATGCAAGTAATAATACCTTCCATATACCGAGCACCCACTGGGGGCCACTCTGCTCAGCACTCCTCACCCATGATCCCCAGTTCCCCAACAACCTTATGAGGGAGGGACGGGTATCAGTCCCCTTTTATAGCTCGGGGAGCTGAGGCAGTCTGACTCCAGAGGCCGTGCTTTGTCCCCAGGGTGGGTGTGAATGTGCCAGGTGAACTGTAAGGGCCTTTGTTACTGCTGTCTTTTGAAAGCCCTTTCCCATGAAATGTCTAATTTTTATCCAAGAGACAAGCTTATGAGGTGGCTGGGGAGTTCCAGATATTCTTATCCAGACTTGGAGTCAGTGCAAGCTGTTTTGTTCTGGTTATTTTTGTGTCTCAGCTCCCAAACTGGATTGTAGGCTCCTGGAGAATTTTGGCGACTGTGTGGATCCTTAGCACATCCTAGGCAGCCCCGTCTTTGTTGTTATTCAAGGTAGGCTGCAAGCTTTCTTTTCCATGCCCTTATTTTGGTAACAAATGCTACACACACACACACCCCCGCCATGAGTGGACTAGTGGACAAGTGACTCAGCTCTCAGCCAGTCTTGTAAATGCATCTCTCTGACTGCAGTGATTGGCTCAAGGGGTGGGCCTGGACCTGGGCAGGGCCAATCAGAGACTTTCCCTGGAATTTGTAGATAGAATTGAGATTACTAAACCGGAGCCTGTGACACCCATGTTTCCTGCCTGCTGGGGAGGTCTTTCTGGAGTAGGAGGAAAGAGAAGTCAACATGCAAGGAGAAGCAGAGACACCTGGAGAAGAGGAGAAGGCGGGCAGAAGTCCTAAATTCCAGCCCCTGGGGCCCTGGCTCTGCAGCTTTTCCCTCAATTTTGTGAGCTCTCCCAGTACCCTTCCTGGCTTTGGGGCCAAGGAAACTTTCCCTTTTTTCACTTAAGGCACTGGGTGTTGGCTTCTGTCACTTGTAGCCAAAACAATCCTGACTAATCTACTCTGCTGTAGGAGACTATGCATCCATTTCCATGCTGTGGGTAGGACAGAACATTTTTGGGACTCCTCTCTGTGCAGAGTCTCCAGACCACATAAGGAAATTGCCCTTCAGTCCAGCTCGAGGCCTCAGTTCCTTGGTGAAATGAGGCAGAAAACAAATAAATAAATTATGCCATCCATTCTCTAGTTAAAATCAACATCTACCAGACTTGGCTCAGAACCACTTGGGGCTGTTTCAAAATTCAGTTCCACTCCTGAGGATTTGCTGCCATGGAGGACAGCAAAACAACACTCCGAGGCTTGGAAGGCAGGTGAAAGAGAAGTGCTCCAAAACACGTTCAGAACTGGGCAGCACCGCTGGAGTACGAGTTTAGCTTCCCCGGGGGATTCCTTAGAATTGGACATATTAAAAATAATAATAATTTATCTGGATGAGTAATGTACTTGGTGCAAAATTCAAGAGGTCCCATTCTGTGGGTTGGCTTTTCATTCTGTTGATAGTATCCTTTTTTTTTTTCCTGAGGAAGATTAGCCCTGAGCTAACGTCTGCTGCCAATCCTCCACTTTTTGCTGAGGAAGACTGGCCCTGAGCTAACGTCCGTGCTCATCTTCCTCCACTTTATATGTGGGACGCCTACCACAGCATGGCTTGCCAAGCAGTGCCATGTCTATACCCGGGATCCAAACTGGTGAACCCCGGGCCACTGAAACGGAATGTGCACACTTAACCTCTGCGCCACTGGGCCGACCCTGATAGTATCCTTTGAAACACAAAAGTTTTTAAGTTTTATGAAGTCCAATTTATCTATTTTTTCTTTTATTGCCTGTGCCTTTGGTGTCATATCCAAGAAATCATTACCAAATCCAATGTCACAAATTTTACCTTGTGTTTTCTTCTAAGAGTTTTACAGTTTTATGTCTTTGATCCATTTTGAGTCAATTTTTACATGTGGTATAAGGTAAGGGTCCAACTTCATTCTTTTGCATGTGAATGTCCAGTCTTCCTAGCCCCATTTGTTGAAAAGACTGGCCTTTCCCCATTGAATGGTTTTGAAAACCATTTAGCCATATACATGAGGATTTATTTCTGTCTCTATTCTATTCCATTGGCCTATATATCTGCCCTCATGCCAGTACCACACTGTTTTGATTACTGTAGCTTTGTAGTAAGTTTTGAAATCAGGATGTGTGAGTCTTCCAACTTTGTTCTTCTTTTTTCAAGACGTTTTGGCTATTCAGGGTCCCTTGAGATTCCATATGAATTTTAGGATGGATTTCTCTATTTATTCAAAAAACATTAGTGGTATTTTTTTTTTTTTTTTTTGAGGAAGACTAGCTAACTGAGCTAACTGCTGCCAATCCTCCTCTTTTGGCTGAGGAAGACCGGCCCTGAGCTAACATCCATGCCCATCTTCCTCCACTTTATATGTGAGACGCCTACCACAGCATGGCATGCCAAATGGCACCATGTCCACACCCAGGATCCAAACCAGGGAACCCTGGGCCGTCACCGAAGCACAATGTGTTCACTTAACCACTGCGCCACCTGGCCAGCCCCAACATTAGTGGGATTTTGATAGAGGTTGCATTGAATCTGTAGATCTCTTTGGATAGTATTGACAGCTTAACAATATTGTCTTCAAATCAATGAACATGCAATGTCTTTCCATTTATTTTTGTCTTCTTTAATTTATCTCATCAATGTTTTGTAGTCTTCAATGTACAAGTCTTATGCCTCCTTGGTTATGTTTATTCCTAAGTATTTTATTCTTTTTGATGCTACTGTAAATGAAATTGATCACATGGGGTTTTCCCTTCATTCTGTTAATGTGGTGTATTATGCTGATTGATTTTCATATGTTGAACCATCCTTGCATTCCAGGAATAAATTCCACTTGGTCATGGTGTATAATCCTTTTAATATGCTGATGAATTAATTTTGTTGAGAATTTTTACATCAATATTCATAAAGGATATAGGTCTGTAGTTTTATTTATTTTCTTGTTTGTCTTTGTCTGGCTTTGGTATCAGGGTAATGTTGGCCTCACAGAATGAGTTAGGAATGTTCCCTCCTCTTTAGGTTGGAAGAGTTGAGAAGGATTGCTGTTAATTCTGAAATGTTGGGTAGAATTCAACAGTGAAGCCATCTGATCCTACTCTTTTCTTTGTTTAGGGGTTTTCAGTCATTTTTCTTAATATTCTCTTTTGTTTTTCACTGCATGGAATTGCCATAATTTATTTGGCCAATTTTTTATTTGGACATTTATATTGTTTCCATTCTTTTGCTATTATAAACAATGCTGCTATGAACATCCTCCAGACACACTTCTGAATGTATAAATTTTGGCAAGCTGTTTACAAAAAAACATAACAGTCACATTATTTTACGGTCACATCTCTTACTTGAGCTAATTGATATTGGAAATGAGAAGGTCCACCAAGACAGACCATTTCCTTCAGCATTTGTCAGAAAAGGGGGACTATTTGTACATTTGTGTATGTGGTGTGGTGCCTTGCACCATGGGTGTTATCAATACAATTTGTTGAGTCAATCAAAGAAGTCAGTTCTGCTTTTGCTTGAAATCTTCCCAGATTGCTCTGACCTTGGAGAGTCTTGGAAACTTAAGGTTAGCGGTAACTTCATAGGTCACAAGGTCAACCAGTCCAATGCTCCCATTTCTCAGTTCCACTTTAAGTCTTCTCTACTGTGGCTCCAGCAAGCACTGGTCCAGCTCGGTCCCTCCGCTGCCTGGGAACTCTGTCTCCAGGCAGCCCATTCCATTCCACAAAGAGTCATGGGTACCTAACACGACTCTGCCATGGGATGGTGGACGGCTCTGCTCTAGGAACACTTCCTTGTATTTGAACCCAGGTGATGTGTCTCTGCTCTGCCACATATGCTAACCCGGAAGCCAAGCAGAGCAAGAAGAGCCCCACTTTCACAGATCTGCTGTTCAAATACTTGGGGACAGTCTCGTGCCTTTTGGAGTTTGCCTGTCCCCCATTCCCACTTTCTCTCCCTTCCCTGAACTACTGAGTCAGCAAAAGCCAAACTCATCGTGGCCTCCGAGGCCCCACAGGACTGGCCCTGCTGACCTTGCCAACCTCAGCTCACTCCCCTCTCCTTCGGGCTGGCCTCACACCGATGCCCACTGTCCTCTTTTCTGTTGGGTCACACTGCCAAGCTCGTTTGGGCCTCCAGACCTCTGCATCTGCTGCTTCCTGCTCTCCGCTAAACTCAGTGTCTGGAGGGCTTATGGCTGCCTAGGACCTAGGATCTCTGGACCTCACAGAGGGCTCCCTGGAAGACAAGGACCCTGGCTACTCATAGGACCTCCCTGATCCCATGGATGGCAGGGATGGTGGGGTGGGGGGCAGGGGGCTGCCATGGGTGGATGGCTACAGTGGGGACACTGATGTGGCCAGCACAAGGCATTTGGATTGAAGAAAATCTAAAGAGGTCACAAAGGAGAAAAGCAGAAGAGACTCTTCCACCCTGCCCTGTCGGAGAGCTCCTCACCTACCCCAGGGCTACCCCAGGAGCCCAGGTGTGAGACAGGGCTGAGCCTCCCCAGGTGAGCCCTCCCTCCACCGGCTGAGCCCCAACTCCAGGGTTGCCCTTTGCCCCTTTCTCCAGGGCCCATCCCCCTCCTCTCTCTGTTTCCCAGCCGAGGACCTAGAGCTTCCATCACGAGTTGGGTTGGGCCAGGAGGTAGTCATTGCACGAGAGCCTTGGGGACAGTGTGGCAGCTATGAACTCAGACCTTGGCTCTTGCCTCAGCTTTGGCACTTGGTAGGGAGGTAGGCGGCCCAAGCCTGGGGTGGAGGGGGGCTCAGCCAGAGTCTGAGATATGGGTGCTCATCCTGGGTGTTCACCAATGACCATTTGTGCGACCTGGGCAAGTCCCATTTGCTCCCTGGCCCTTCATGCCCAGGTGTGAAAGGGGATCAGGCCAGGTCATCTCTGAGGTCCCCTCAGCTTCTGACATTTTGAGTCTCTGGGCCCAGGGCCTGGGAACACCGAGTGGCCCCACAGAGCCCTTGCTCTCTGGCGCCTCCTGGCCTCGGTGCTCCCAGAAGTCCCTCCCCACAACAGCCTCCTCCCATGCTGCCCCCCCATCCACCTTCCTCTCAGCGGTAGTGGCTGCTTAACCTCCACAGGCTGCGAGGAGCCGGGAGTGACTGTAAAAGGGAAGGAATGTCCAGAGGCGATTGTTTCTTCCTGATATCACCCGGGGGGGAGGTTGAGTTGGGGGGCCCAGCGGGAACAGTGGCGTCAGGATTCTCCCTGAAACTCATCTCCCTTGTGCTGCCCGCCCCCCCCCCCCAGGCTCAGCCAGCAACCCGCCCCCTCCTCTGCCAGCCTCCCCCTCTCACTGCTGCCAGACCCTCAAGCCTCCCGCTGCCAGCTGTCTGCACCTCCTGACCCCAGACCCTTTCCTGGGCCCCTTCCTTCACTGTCACCCCCACCCCAGTTCTCATAAAACCCCTCCTTCCTCCCCCTCCTCCTCATCACCCTCACACCCCTGACCCTTCTGGGGGGGGGGGCACAGCTGGGCTCCAACCCCCTCCTGCCCCAGGCTCCTTTTACAGACATGGAGCTCTGCAGGTTTTCTGCCAAAGTAGGAGAAGTCTGGGGCTCATCTCACCTCCTCCCAGCCCCCAAATTCTACCAAATAGGACATCTGGAAGTCTGGGGAGGAGGAGGAGGAGGAGGAGGAAGAGGCGGGGGAGGAGGGAGAAGAGGAGGAGAAGAGGAGGAGGAGGAGGGGGAGGAGGGGAGGAGGAGGAGGAGGGGGAGGAGAAGGGGGAGGAGGAGGGGGAGGAGAAGGGGAGGAGGAGGAGGGGGAGGAGGAGGGGGGAGGGGGGAGAGGGGGTGGAGGAGGAGAAAGCTGAGCCTCAAATGGGAGGAGCTGATGAGAAGGTGGAGGTGAAAGTGCTTTGTGGACTCTGACCATCCTGTAAATTTCAGGTGTTACTTGCATCAGCAAGAGATGGGGGCAGGGAGAATGGGGATGGAAGTCAATTCAAGGACAGGGAGGGGGCGTTGGTGGCATTAAGGGAAGGCCCCCAGGAAGGCCTCCTGATGTGTTAGGAGCAGCATATGGCTGGGAGGCTGGAGGTGGGAGGCCTGGGCCTCAGCTCTGGATCAGCTGTGTGAGGTGGGACTGGTCATGTCTCTTCTCTGGGTCTCAGTTTCTCCTTGCTTAAAGCGAAGTATCCTGGACATCCCTCCCTACTCTGACCCCAAGTTGAGGAATGCCAGAGGCCTTTTTCTGCCAAATCGAAGCTTTTGGTGCCTCCCCAGGCAGACTTGTCCGAAGCCACTCTGCTCACCCCAGACTCACCAGGGAGCGGGACCCAGGTCACTGGCACATCCCCAGAGCAGCCCCGATCCCATCCTGGGTTGGTGAGATGCGGCTGCACCTGCCACAGACAGCTTCCTCCCAGACACACCTTCTCCCTCCACCAGTTCCCTCCAGACTGCAGGCTCTCTCTTCCCTCTCCGCAGGCTTCCATGCCCACCGGGTGAGCGCTG